CTCAAGTAAGGCATGTTAAAATTATAAGACCTTACAAAAGGCATAAATCCTGATCTTAAAGTTAAGGCTATACATTCGAACTTGTAAGACCCTTAAAAAGGCATACCCTCGATATAAACGCCGAAACTACTTCACTCGGGGGCTGAAAGGCTACAGCCAAACATAATGACTACGGTCATGATGCTCCGGCCAAACCCACACGACTCAGGGACGCCCGACCATCGCTATAAAATCACATGCCTTTGAATTACTTCGAAAATACTTCGAAAAGAACCGGTTAATCAGGCTACCCTCCATATAAGCAAAAGAGCTTTGATCATATCAGCTCCAAACAATAGGCTTTGAAACAATTCAGCCATTGAGTGAAACCTCTCAAGGTGCTCATTTATTGCTACATAACGGCTCACAATCAAGGCTCTTATCGAGCCATCAAAGAGTTGGGGCGAACACAAAAACATCAAAAAGTCTTTAAATGAGAGAAAATAAAGCCTATATTAGAGGTCGTACCGATCCAATGCGTAAGAGCCACTGTCGCCAGCCTATATTAAGAGGTCGTACCGACCCAATGCATAAGAGCCACTATCTCCAGCCTATATTAAGACGTCGTACTGAACCAATGCGTAAGAGCCACTATCGCCAGCCTATATTAAGACGTCGTACTGAACCAATGCGTAAGAGCCACTATCGCCAGCCTATATTAAGAGGTCATACTGACCCAATGCGTACGAGCCACTGTCGCCAGCCTATATTAAGAGGTCGTACATACCCAAAGCGTAAAAGGCACTATGGCTAGCCTATATTAAGAGGTCATACTGACCCAATGCGTACGAGCCACTGTCGCCAGCCTATATTAAGAGGTCGTACATACCCAAAGCGTAAAAGGCACTATGGCTAGCCTATATTAAGAGGTCGTACCGACCCAACATGTAAGAGCCCAGATGCCAGCTTAAAATTCAAAAACTTAAGGGCCAATGAGCTTGAGTAGAAATCTGACTCAAAGACTATGCCCGAAACAGTTAACTAAAAATGCCTAAGGGAAAATACGTAAGAGCCTACGAGCCAACCCAACGAGCCTTGGGGCCGATTTGTAAACCTAAGGGTTTTACCTTGAAGCCCAATTCATCTGGCTAATCATTGACACACATCAAAATTTAAAGCAAAGGAAAAACGAAAAAGGATGAAAAACAAAAAAGCCTTTACATACATGTTTGAATGTACATTTACAAGGCATATGTTTGAATCCCTTACAAGGTTAAAAAAGCAAATAAAACTCTAATATACCACCGGGGCTATGTCTTCGACGGATCCCTCGAAAATTGCGCTTTCAACAGCACCGGCCATAACCCCCAAGTTTTTAACGGCCTCTCCCTTTTCGGGGATCTCGCCTCCATCTTCATCATTTCCGAGTCACTACTCAACTCATCTTCAGAAGAAAGCAAGGTCACGACCTCGTCTTCTAGGTCTTCACCCTCTCGATCTCGGCAGATAAATTGATGCCCCTCGCATATATATCCTCAAGAGCCCGTCTCCGAGATTCTAAATAGGCATGCTCCACAGCTCGGGTCAATTGCAGCTCGGCCTCTTCGGACACCTTCCTGGCTAGAGCATTTGCAGTAGCAGCATCCTCTTTATGCGAAGACGCGAACGCCTTGGCTTCAGCCCTAACTTCGGATAGCGCAGCAAACAACTCAGTACGAAATCCCTTATACCTATCACTCTCTATCCTCGCATCATCAAATTGATGCCCGACTGAGACCACCTCCTCTTGAAGGGTATCTCTCTCAGAGAATATCTCACTCAAGTGCCGCTTGAGTTCGAGAATTTTAAAGTCCCTGGCTCGGATTTCCTCCTTCATTAGGACATCTTCCTCTCAAGCTGCAAAGATCGACCCGAAGGTGTCAAAACACTAAAGTCGGATAAACATGGAGACAAAAAGCAAGCAAGAACTATACAACCTGCTCAGTGAGATGAGTCCTTTCTTGGGACGCTGCCTCCAAACGATCCCGATGGCCACAGAGTTCCTCCTCCCTCTTGGTAGAAAAAGCTCTGAGCTTATCAGCTTCCAAGGTGAGCTTCTTGTGCTCACCCTCGTAACGAGTCACCTCATTTTGAAACTTGGTGAAGGTCTGATTGTAAAGCACCTTGGCCTAGAACCATGAAAGGACAAGGTTAGCAAGACAAAAATCGGGACACCAAGAAGAATCTACAAAAAGATTACCTTCTCGCAGAGCCTTTCGATATCACTGAAAATAAGCGAGGCTTCAAGCTCAGGTTTTTCCTCAGGCATAGAAAAAAGCCTCCCAAACACATTTTATCTCCGACGGAAACCCCCACGCCGGAAGACACTTTATTTTGGGCATCATGCGCCTCCCTCGGAGAAAAAGTAGATCCCAAAGGGGAATCCCCAACATCAATAACCACGACTGGATCAATCGGGGCCGTCTCCTGTTTCTGGAGAGCTTTAGAACTAGGTTCCCCCAGACCGCCTAAGGAAGGCCCTTCAGCTCGAGGAAAGTTTTGGCTGTCAATTAACTCATGGATATCACCTGACGCACTCTCGAAGGCCTCTTCAGTCTGAGGTAGGACAACCAGGGAATCAATCAACTCTACAGTATGTGGGACAGTCAGGTTTTCTCCCCCAGCGGGTGCTTCCGAGGAATCATCCTTGCTTTCGCCTTTAGCTCGGGGACTTCCCGGAACTTTTGGCGTTAAGGTTGTTGAATCAGCCTTAGTTTCTTCCACTTTGGCTTTCTTGGATTTCGGAGAATGGGTCGACAGCCTCCTTCATCTTTTCTTCTCTTCGTCAGGTTTCGGGGTATCCGGTTCACTAAGCGGTACTTCCCTCATCAAGGGGACATCCACTAGACCTGCACAAATCCAAAATATAAACACATGGAGTGAGGACACTATCAGCAGAAGTTCTTTTATGAGATATAATTACAACAGAAGTAAAGGCTCACCGTGGTCCTTGGCTTTCCATCGAGCCTAGGACAGATCGCCCCACACGCGCTCAACGTATGGGAAAATCGAGTCCAGCTGGTTGACCCACTTGGAGAGGTTCTTAACCGCATTAGGATACACTACGACAGCTGCATCAGCAGAGGAAGTCAGTTCATGGGGAGATGTACCAAAAAGAAACAAGAAAACATTTAATCAGCATATCTACTTACGTTTCATGTTCCACCTTTCAGGGAACGGCATCCTCTCCACTTGAATCAAGTCCGAAGTCCTAACTCGGACAAAACGGCTCATCTATCCTCCGTTCCTAACCTCGTCGGTACAGGCAAAAAGGGCTCTCGAGGCCCAATAGTGGAGCTTAATCAAGCCCCCACGGAAAAGTCGGGGACTATACATCCTAATCAGGTGGTCGAGTGTAAAGGGCGTCCCCTCAATCATGTTCATGTAATATCTGGTCATGTAAACGAAGCGCGAAAACGAAGCATGAATTTGGCTGAGAGTCACTCGATATTGTTCACAGAAGTCAAGGATTACGGGGTCTATTGGAGGAGAGGATGGCTTCACTGGGCCAAGGGTAAACGAATAAGTATGCATGCTGAGGAAGCTGGCCTAGTCACGAGTACCGCCTCTCCCAATAGCGGTCGGCCTTCACCCTTTCGATATCTGCTATAGAACTAACATATTGGGACACAGGTTCGCATTGTCCCGGCTTCGAAGAAGGTTTTTCGGTCTTAAAATCGGAGGTCATTTCAAAGGCTCCTGTAATATATTCCCCGACTCATGGGGGCATTGTTTCTTTACCCTTAGACGAGCACGAGGAAGAATAAGGCACATCTTCCTAAGGAACAGAGGTGGAAGTCTTCGCCATTCTTGTTGAAAGATTTCAGAGGAGAAATGAAAATTGCATTTTAGAAGAGAAAACAAGAGAGAGGTAAGAAGAACTCTTTTGAGGGCTTGATGATGCAGTGGTAAATAAGGAGCGAAAGAAGAAATATTTATAGAGATCTAACATGCACGTTGGAGCGGACCAAAGGACAGCCAACCGTCGTAATTAATACACAGACTTTTAAGGGCTATGTGGACGCGACCTTTAGGCACCTCATCTTGCCACGTCAATCACTTGGTAGGACATGACTATTGTCATAATGGGAGTATCGAAGGGGCAAGAACTCGAGATCGTTTCTCATCGTTTCACTCTAAAAAATGTGGGGACTATCTATATACGGGTAAAATCAGAGAGCCCGATTTTGGGATCATTGTGTCTTTCCATAGCTTCACCTTGGAGGCCCGGGGGACAGTCCGAGGTTCGATCTCGAGGGTTCTTTATGTCCGACCTCGGTGAAGCACAAATCGATGGTTATCATGGATAAGCGGGAAGCTCCCTAGGCATGTGGCCAAAGCTAACAACACCTACAAGAATAGTATCAGCATGTACCAGACTGCTAAGTAGCTGTACCAGCTACATTGCTTTGTAATAAGTGCGTATGTACTATATTGGGATTCCCCTCCTATATAAAGGGGACCTTTGTTATTTTTTGCACACAGGATACATACTACAATATTCAATACAAGAACATTCTTTGTCCTCTAACTTAAACACATTCTCCCTTGATTCTATTATTTATATTTATTGCTTACATTTATTGTGTTCCATTAATTGTTCTTCATTTATTGCTCATTATTGACCATAAAAAGCTCAGATCAAAGCTCTCAAAACTGTTAGCCCTTCATCGACCGGGCACAGCCTAATGCTTAGCTCGACCTCGAGGCCCTGTATAGGCCAGCTCGAGGCCCCGATTCTCAGCCTCTCGGTTTGCTTAACATATCACCTTCAAGCTCTTATCTTATTTTCTAATCTTACACTTAGCATTTACTGCCTAACAACTAGCATTAAAATAAATTATGTATTTTTAGAACCACAAAATCAAATCTAATTGTAATTACCATTTTTAAGGTAAACAATAAAAATAGCCAAAAAGAAAAAGAAAAACTAAAGCAGCTAGTACCAACTACCAAGCTACTAGTTAGGGCGGATCTACCATGTAAGCTACGAGTTCAAGTGAATCACGTAGCTAGCTTTTGTCGAGATCTTATACATTTATTATAATAAATTTATTAAATTTCTATAAATATATGATCGTAAACCAATTACTATTGTATATTAACTTGAAGTGTAGGAACTTATTAAACTTTAAATCCAAGATCTATGCCTCTCGCTAGTATTTGCTAGTACTAAACTCAATTCTACATAGATCAATAGAATCAGCTCCTGGAGGGAGAAAAGTAGGTTTAATTTTGTGGCTTAGGCTTCTTCACAATCATCACAGAGCAATGAGCATGGTGAGAGCAGTAGTCACTTACGCTACCCAAAACAGCCCTGCAAATTAACATTATTGAAGAATTAATTTCAAACAATAATTTCTAGCAAAAGAAAGAAAATCGCCCAAAAAAAAAGAAAATAGAATTCTCGACTGGTTATGCTATTTTTTTATAGTCTAATTAATATTTACCGACTGATTATGGTACTTTTTTAGAGTTTAATTAATATTCACTGACAACGTAAAACCAGCAGTTAATTTTACTTGGCGGAACACGTTATCCATGCATGCTTTAAAATTGCTTAATTGACTTTTAAGTGATAAAAAATTTACACTTTCAATATATATTAAATGAAAAACTCTTTTTTATACTTCTTTCGTCCCAATTTAATTATTTGATATACTTTTCTTAGTAAAAGTCGATTTGAGTAAATCTCAAGTAAGATCAGACTAGATTATATAATTCATTTTTGAAAATTAAAATTCGATGCTCAGAAAATATCATAAAAGTTCTATAAATTGCAGATCTGCTCCTATTAAAAAGGTTAAAAGAATTCAATTTAAAGATTTCGCACATAGTTCATTTAGTTTAAGGGCAGCTCGGTACACTAAGTTCCCGTGATGTGCGGGGTTCGAGGAAGGGCCGGACCACAAGAGTCTATCATATTACCCTACATTTCTGTAAGAAGCTATTTCCAAAGCTCGAACTCGCGACCTCCTGGTCACATAGCAGCACATAGTTCATTTAGTTTGGATCTCCAAAAAAGTACGAAGTGTCAAAATAACATTATAAATGTTCTTTAATTTTTAGTACCTTTTGAAAGTTCCATAGCCATGGCTGCCCATGACCAAGAGAGAGGCGTGATGCCTTTCAACAGCATCACAAATAACATTCCTAGCATCACCTTCAAGTATTTCACATGCAACATTAGCAACCCCTTTACTCTTGCTTAACTCTTTAGCTTTGTCAATAATTTTTTGGGCTGTCTTTTTTATGTCTGTTTCTACCATCGTGTACATGTCTGTTGTTCCTGAAACATTAACATTCACAAAAACATGTCAGTTTGTGAAAGAAACCAACTCAAGTCATCATTCAATCATGGAAGAAAGTGTATTAAGCTCCCGTTCGCTCACACACTGTGTCAGGCCTAACGAAGGGTTGGACTATAATATTGTATCTATTGCACGCAGTTTTAAGTTACATTTCTGCAAGAGAAGTTATTTCCACATGAGTTCCCTTGACCAAAGGTATTGTTTCCAGCTTTTTCGTTGCTTCAATAAATCCAGTATTTCGACATGGATATGTGTGTGAAAAAAATATTTAAATTACAAAAAACATTAAATTTCTGAAAATACGTTCTCGAAAACACAATGTGCTCAACCTATTACTTCCTCCGGTCCAAAATAAGTGATTTTTTGGATGTTTTTACACAGATTAAGAAACTCACCTTTTAGCATTAATTAGCAATGAAATTGACCATGTTAATCTTTACTATCTCACATAAATACTCCTAACACATATTCCAACACTATTTACTCCAAGGACAATGTAGGAAAAAAATAATTAATTCATTCTTGAAATCTGAAAAAATCACTTATTTTGGACTACAAAAAAAATACCAAAAAATCACTTATTTTGGACCGGAGGGAGTAGCATGTTTGACCAAACTACCAAAATTTGCTAAATTTCAAGTATTTTTCCAAAAAATACTTTTAAATATACTAGTATTAGTACCGGCGTGGATGCGCGGACACTAATCATGTCAAATATTTAAGTTATTTGGATTGTATGTAAATAATCTTAAAATTTATACTTTCTCAGTAAATATAGATAATCATTGGATATTAACTACATGAAAAAAATTAACCATTTCTTCTATTTTCCTTTTTTTTTTATACCATTATTGCCGGTATCATTGGATCCTAAAAATAGTGAGGAAGCAAAATAATAATCATATTTATGGCAAAACAATCAAATGTTGAGACAATGAATGACACTTTGGATAAGACTTAACTCTTTTACTACTACTTAAACTCGTATTTGGTGTGTTGATATCTCTTGAAAAATATTTCTTTCTTAAAATTTCAGTTCCTAAAATATTATTTTTCAATAATAATTATTTTTATAATAATACAATTAAAAACATTATTCTTAATTTAAAACTCATTTTAGTTGGTTATCCAAAAATATAAAAAATTCTTTAGCTAGTGAATTGTTTTACTTCATTTTGATATCTGATATTAACCATGTTAAATATCTGAGTTATTTGAATTATATGTAAATAACCTTAACATTTAAACCTTCTAAATAATTATAGATAATCGTTAGATATTAATGAAGAAACACTACATGAAAAAAGACTAACATTTTCTCAGTTCTCGTAGTGATAATTTTATTTTTGCAATATTCGCATAGGTGCCATTGGAACCTAAAAATACAAAGTGAAATAATAACTCATATTTATGGCAAAGCACAAAGCTTGACATAATATAAACGATTCTTTGATTACGACGTGACTCTTATACTACGACTTGAATTCTTATTTGGTATGATTTTATCTTTCAAAAAATATTTCTATTTTGAAATTTCAATTTCTAAAACTTTATATATATTATAATAATGATTATCTTTATAATGATGCAAGTGAAGATATTATCCTTAATTTAAAATTTACTTTAATCGGCTATCCAAAAATTTAAATGATTCTTTGGCCGGATTTATTTCAGTATGACTCCACTTTAAGTTTATCGATATCTCTAGTCCCAGAATTTAAATTTTTAATACCCTATATGTACAAAAAATTTGTTCTTTGAATCTTTAAACGTTAAATTAGTTGATTATTATTATTATAAAATATTGCATATATTGTCCTAAAATTGTCAAGTAGTTTATTTTTCGACATCATACTTGGCTTAATCTTAATGCAAACTACTCAAATTGTATTCCAATTCAAATTCAAATACCATATCAGTTTGTTAGTAATAGTGATTTTTTTAAAACGACACATAATGTAAATTAAAAAAATATTCTAAGAGATCCTTATCTTATAATATATGTATTTGAGTTGAAAAAAATATATTTGAAATCGATGAGATTAACTTTCAAAACTTTTATACTCAACAAAGATGAAACATAAGAAGAAATTTGTTGTCATATTTTATTTCTCGTTTTTAGATTTTTCTAACATTTTTTTCAATATATATTTTCTTTTATCTTATTTTTTATGTCATTATTTTGAGTTTTAATAAAAATTGTATACATATGAACTTTAATTATATTGTTAGTCTTTGGTTAAAATTATTTCATATTTTTCTTTTAGCTTTATCTAATCAGCCTAAATAGGTGCTCACCCGATCACTTAAATTAAAAAATTAAATGATGTGTAATTTATATATAATCCATATATAATATGTGTATAATCGTGTGTTGTCGGTATATCATCTATTTATGTTAGCTATAAAAAGCAAATAATAAATATGACCAGATATTATATAAATATTCCATAAGATTTTGATTTTTTGAGTTTATCCATTATATAACTTCTATTATAATAATTTTAAAACTCTCTACTAATGTTCAAAAATATCTTATCTTTTTATTATATTTTAATTAAAAAAAGTAAAGAGTTTTTTTGAAATAATTTGTTTACATTTAAAAAAAATATTTCACGTCATACCAATTTTTTCTTTATACATACTCTTTGTTACATTTAAAAGTCACTATAGAAACTATCAATTAGAAACCAATTTATCTCTTGTTGAGTTTGAAGAAAAAAAACCTTTCACATAATCTAATAATTCAAAACTAATATTCTTTGACAAAAAAAATATTATATCCTTGCAATATTGGCTTGACTACAGCTAAATGAAGGGGTTTCAACTTATGCCCTTCGATCCTTGAATGTGCTAAACTGAAATTAATGATAGCAATTGTATAGCCAAAGTTTTGTTATTTGTTTGAAGTCCATTTATGCAAATTGACTTTTCAAACAAATATTCTTCAAGAAAAAAAAACTTTTTTTTTCTTTTTCTTTTTTTAATATTGACTGATTTTGTGTTGTTTTTTTCTCCAGCATGTATGTTTACTTTATTATATATGTAAGTAAATTTTTATTTGGTTTTGTAAACTCTTTTTTGTTATTTAGATAAACATAGACGTGTAGCCTATATATTACATTTATTTTAAAAGAATTTTGTTTTATTCAAATCTAGCTACAGCGTTTCAAAGAACTATACTTATAGGATTTTAAATGTGAAAGAGTTTTATAATTATATGGAGTAGTTTTTTTTTTTTTTGCTAGAGGCAAAGTAGTATTTAAGTAATTATAAAAAATAACAAAAGTTCCTAACATGATTGCATATGATCATTAACCAAATTAAGTATGATAACATGATAAAAAAAGATAAATTTTATTTTTAATTTAAATTCGAATTTTAGAATTTTATCTATAAATTCAAAATTATCTTTTAATTTAAATTTCGTATATATACATATATAATATTTATATTTAACTAAAATAGTCAAATATAGAATAAAGTTACCATATACTATTG